ACAAATTTATAAAGTCAATACTTTAAAAGGCTTTCCCAAAGGTGTTTCACAATGCATTCCTCTTTTATATCAATCTTCGAATAAGCATAACGCTACCTATATTTTGTACGCTTTTGTACACTGGCTCTAAGACATTTAACGGCTCACTGACACACTCCTCTACCCTTTCATCTTTCAGTGAATAAATGTCCTTATGTTTCCTTTTCATTCGGGGGGAGGGGGAATAAATATCTATATAGAATTCGGTTGTCATGAGAAAATAAGTTTTTAAGACAACAAAGCTTGGGTCAAACCATTGGTCAATGATGAAGTCCACCAACTTTCAGTTTTTTTGATTGGCGTACGGTTCTGCTTGCTTCACTGTCCGAAGACTCTGACTCTGTGTCATTGTACCCCGACATTGGTACTCCTTCCGATTTTGTGACCTCACAAGTTTCGGCTGCGAAATTTCCCGTTATTTTTGCTTTCTCCAGAGCTCGAACTGTAAACAATTCCGACTGGTACAAAACATTGAATAGCCCTTAATTCTACTTGTCAGTTAAAATAATAAAAGTATAATTACTCTGAGATTCCAGAAGATTGTTTTGTCGTTTCAAGTCATCGATATCCTGCTGATGTGAGGAATTCTTACGGCGCATGAATTGTATATATTCGGCAGCTTTCTTTAGTATTTGTGCTCTGCTGACAACCTTCTCGCTCTGCAATGCTGGTACAGAGTCTCTAAGACTCGAGAAACTGTCCTTAATGTGATCTCTACGCTTACGTTCTAATGCATTGTGATGTGCACGTTTCTCCGCCTACAAACATAAATAAAAATTCTCTAGAAACAACCACATTACTTTAGATCACACTATTCTAAAAAAAACCAGTGTGATTCATGTTAATTCAGATCAACACTGTTCCTTCGTTCTTTCTTTTACTTCTTATGTTTGTTTACAAACAACTACACGTAAACATCTAAATAGATACATATAATCCCAGTTGAAAACAGCACAAAATCCACCCTCACAAATGCACAATGAATTCACGAGATTCTACAAATCATCTCAAACAAAAACTGATTGTTTTCTATGGTTGTTTACGTAAGAAACGTCAAACTAACCTCAAAGGCGTTACGATTTGACGCTCAAAGGATCGGTTTGGCTCACTTAACCGATCGATTAATGAATGAAAACGTAAAATAAAGGAGAATTAATCAGTCAGAGAGTAAATAGGAGGCTTACCTGGGAATAATATTGGGTGTTATTCGAATGTCTCTGTCTAGAATCGGAATCGTCGCCTTCCTGGAAAACGAACTTTTTAATAGGACTCATTGGTAGGACGGTTTTAAGGACTTACATCGCTCTCAATGTCGATGTCTCGGTCATCGTCACTCATTATAATTCCCTTCGGTTGCCGGAGTAATTGGTAAACAAAAGGCTTTATCGAGTACCCGAACAACACGTATACATGTGTGTAGGTGGACTGTGTGCGGATGGACACTATCTGTTCACAACAGAAACACGTACAACTCGATAGGAAAACATGGGTCATCAAAGTTTACCAACCTCGTCATTTTTACAGTAACAAGTCCAGTTACGTTTTGTCCCTATAATTCTCAAGGTTCGGAGATTCATTGAAAATAATCATGGAATAATAATCATTTTATCATTACCACTTGAACTCTAAAGGTACTTGTTAGGTGTCTTTTTATTGTTCAAGGATTCATGCTTGATAATTAGGTTTATTAATAAGTTCAGTTACGTTTTGTCTCCATAGTTTTCAAGGTTCAGAAATTCATTGAAATTAATTAGTTGAGAAATAATTATTTTATCATTACCATTTGAATGCTAAGGGAAATTGTTAGATTTTTTTTATTATTAAAGGTTTCATGCTTGACCAATAGACACGTTACCATTTGTCATTAAATATTCTAATTTTAAGACATACAATTGAAATGTAAATCTGATGAAAAGTTTGTTTTATGCTTTAAAATTTCATTTAGATAATTAGGTTTGTTAATAATAATAGATTAGTATATAACATAGTGAATATTTCAAACGTATGTTATTTATTGTAAACCGCTCTTCGTGATCTTTGTAAAGATATTGATAATTGTTAACGATTGGTGCTAGTTTTAATTATCATTTACTTAATGAATACCAAAACAATGTCCAGCGCCATCTGTGGCAGAAAGGTTCAAGCTACTAGCCAGCTAGTACACACTTTTGCCGCTAGATGGCGCTACAATGCACTTTAATGATATATTGCAATTAAAATTTTTGTCGGAAGCATATGGGAAGTGCAATGAGATTGAGACTTCGTATATCAAGCTTTTTTTTCCTTTGCAGTGGTATCGCAGGGTATTTAAATCTATATTATATATAAAAAAATTAGTAAGTATAGAAGCTATACATTTTTTAGAAATCTGAAAGTCAATGCTTCAAAAGAGTGGTGGTTTTCCTAAGAGATTATTTATAATTGCTAGGTTAATGCAATAATATGATTACTATAGCTTTAAATTATCAACTGACGTAAATTTCGCTTGTCCTTTGCATTTGTAATTGCACGTATCACTTTTACAAGCATGAAATGACAAATTTATGTATCACTTGCAACAATACAGTGAACAAACCAAGGGAACACGAGTTAATAACATTGGTACATACAAAAATTCCTAGAAAAAAACTTCCAGGATCATGAATCCAATGATCAGTAGCATACAAACTATCAGAATCAACTGCACATTAATTTTACAGCTCAGAATATCCAACACACTGTTACACAGTGCAAACAATACATCAAAAATCTGGCATCAACGATTAAAACGTGAATCTCGATAAATTCACATAAATCTTCCTAAAAAGGAAAGCTCATCTCCACCCCATTAAACCCAACAACAAAATAAAACAACTGAAGTCAAATCCATCTCTATTCGAGAAAAACAACGCCGCGGAGCTGAACGATTCCCAGAAGCATCGAACGATGTTCAAATTTCAATAGAGCCCGACCGGCCAGCAAAACACGTGCCTATTATAACGGTTCCATTGCCGATCCCGTGCTGGTACAGAGCACTGTACACACAGGGAAGCCGGCGAGACCGTAAGAAAACACATAATCCCTTCGCAAAAGTCTCGTCTCGGAATGGCAACAGACCGCGGGGGAACGTGAATCAATCGGAAACCGCGAAGAAAATGTCAGCGTGCACAAGGGGATCGAGGAAGATCGCGGCCGGTCGTATTGGTCCACGTTAGGGGTGGGGGCTCGCAGAATCAATACGAAGAAACGATAACTCGCGTTCCTCGTTGGGCCCGTTCTTAGGGGCTGGTCCCGCGATAGCCGGGATAATATCCCAGCCTCGGAGATCGACGATCCGGTTCTCTGGAGCGTGACACCACGTCCATAGATTTGCGGCGAACGCTAGGACGCCTCGCGCCGTCTCCTGGCAACGGCGCTAGGCGTGGCGGCCACGCCCAGCGGCCAATCGCGGCCGCGCGACGCTCGGCTCTCGCCGTCGGAGGGGTGGGAGGCAAGGTCGTTGCTCGGGAGCGCACGGGACACCGGAGTTATTGAATTCGTCGAATTGGCTTGCCAGCCAGCGCAAAAAGACGGATGGGGCCGAGCAGATCCGCGGATAAACGGTCGGAAGTTAGAGCGCGCCGCTACCGATCGATGCATTAACCGCGATGATTGCACGTGTGCCGAGCTCGTTTCGGCATTGTCGGAGGCTATTGTGAAGCCGGCCTCGGAGGAATGGCGAAGTCGTATGCTAAACAGGCTGGCAGGTGGAAGCGGCCGCTAAGTGGACCAGCTGGATTATCGCGTTCAACGGCTGCGCCGATGCTCGCGAGGTGGGAACTGCTTTCTCGCGATATGGGAATTTCGTTTTTCTCCTGTCGACGCTCATTGGGTGTCTTTTTCTTTGATCTCCTGCAGTTCGCACGGTCTTGAATCTTTATAATGGCTTGCGTAGAAATTGTGTGTCCGAGTATTGAATGGGATCGGTCTCGGGATGTTTGGATGATTCTTTTTGGTTGGAGATTCGTTTGCGGCTTTCGATTTGGAATGTCGGAGCCGAAGTGCAGAGAATGTTGTTGATTTTATGTTTGTTAGGATTGTTAGGAATCGTGAATGTAAATTTTGCTGTTGCGTTGGAGATTTGTGTGTCGATGTTTGAACTTTTTTGATACATTGTTGTTTGATTTATAGTTGTGTTGTTCAGATGTGATTTTGTATTTCCGACCAGTTGTTTAGTGGTTGGAGCATTACTGTGTCATTATAGATTTGAAATGTGAAAGAAGTTGTTAACGTATTTTGATCCCTTGCTATTGGCATCCAGTCAGATTGTATGATAGATTGAAATAGAAGTCTGTAAATATCGGTGTTCCAGTAAGGAAACACGAGGTTATTACTACTTTCACTTTGATCGACGCAGCAACGAAAGAAATCGCGAGGTGAAGGGTTAGTAAGTATTACTCAAAGTGTTTTCTTAATTTGTATTGCGCGGGTACAGGTTTCCTCCTCCTTTAGGAAATAGACGTAAAATAATACAAAATATTCGACAACATCGAATCCATTAGTGTTTAACCGCCTTTGACAGTGGAATGCGCAGTAAAATACAGGCTAAGAGCTTATTCAAACTCATTCACTCCCTCCCGACTTCAAATAACCACTGATGAAGAAAACTAACCTCTGTTGATTTCCTTTCTCATCAATCTTCATCAAAAACCCAGCTACAATAAGCGGAAACAGTAGGAATCCTAGATTCTCCTTTTATTAACTCAATGATCTCTTTTCCACCGACAAATTGCACCCAACAACATCGTCAATTCGCCACGGCAGTAGCTCAACTCCAAATTCCCCAATCGCAACTTAAAATCTCTCCAAACCTCAATACTTCCATCCCACTTCGACTCTCATCGCATCAATTCCTCATTTCACCGTCAAACTCGAAAAAAGTCGCGAGAATACCGTTCAAACCAAAGTCTCCCGTCCCTTAATCTCCATCTTCAAAGCACACGTCGCATCCGTGAAGAACAGACCGTCCGAAACGTCGGAATGGACCGTCTCCGTCGTCAGCGACGTCCATCGACGCCCGTTTCGGGCCGATCGATCGAAATATTCCGCGCGTGGCTGCTACCGTTTCGCCGGGGCGGAACCGCGCGGGATTTTCGAAGAGGAGAGCGTTCTCCGTGCTCCCATCTCCCGTTCGCCTCTCCCGTCGTCATCTTCCCGCAGCCCGGTCGCTTTTTTCTGGGCCGGTCACGACGCGAAAGCTGCTGACTCCGATTGAAACCTCCGTGGCCACGCCCCTGGCGAATCGCGGCGCGGGGACCGGCGGTGCGTGGGCCGGCCGCGCCCACCACGTGCGAGAGACAGGAGAAC